CATGGTGTTATCATGGTGTTATCATGGTTTTATCATTGTGTTATCATGGTGTTATCATGGTGTTATCATGGTGTTATCATGGTGTTATCATGGTGTTATCATGGTGTTATCATGGTGTTATCATGGTGTTATCAAGGTGTTATCATGGTGTTATCATGGTGTTATCAAGGTGTTATCATGGTGTTATCATGGTGTTACTACTTATTGTGCTTTGTTACGACACAATGTGTAGTGAAAGCTTGCTTTTTTTATTTGCATTTTTAAAGCCCTTAAAAACAAGCTTACACAGAACAGTTTGAGAATAAATACACAAAAAAGTTAATTTCACGACAAAATATTTTACAGTCCCAGCTTCCTAGTCAGTCACATCTTCAATATAAAAATATATTGATTTCGGGAGAAAAGTTGAGGGTTGAGCACACTCACCGTCACACAAGTGAGATTATCGTTGTAATTTTGTAGTTCTGTAGAACACCCCCGCAAACCCCACCCCACACCCCGCAAACCCCACCCCACCACCCACACACGACTACCTCTTAAAGCTGCTACGTTGATTCACCTACCTCTTCATAAACCAACTCTCTGTAGAGTTATGTTATGAAGTCAACGCTTAATCCCGCAACAAGCCTTTCTCTGATGTGTTCACAGGGCGCTCTCAAATGGTAAACCACCAGTTTGCAGTAGTGTGCATAATCTCGCAGAGCTAAATTCAGCCGCCACCTTTGGTGTAATTTAAAATGTTTTATCGCTTGATACATATCAAAGTTATCGTTCAAAGGTCAAAATTTCTATGGATCATTTCAGCTTATTCTGACCTGTACTAGCGCGATTTTATTATATCATAATGGACCCTATTATGCCATATATGGTATGATTTGACCTAAGATTAATAATAGCTTTCTCTGATCGCTGTTTCGGTGGGCTAATTTGCCACTTTTTACTCAAACATAGTATATTGTCTATATTGTATGATATAATATATATTATGTGCCTGCTCAGGTCATTTATCGATGAATAAAGAGGATCTAAATATTTTACAGCAACTAGCTCTCTCTCTCTCTCTCTCTCTCTCTCTCTCTCTCTCTCTCTCTCTCTCTCTCTCTCTCTCTCTCTCTCTCTCTCTCTCTCTCTCTCTCTCTCTCTCTCTCTCTCTCTCTCTCTCTCTCTCTCTCTCTCTCTCTCTCTCTCTCTCTCTCTCTCTCTCTCTCTCTCTCTCTCTCTCTCTCTCTCTCTCTCTCTCTCTCTCTCTCTCTCTCTCTCTCTCTCTCTCTCTCTCTCTCTCTCTCTCTCTCTCTCTCTCTCTCTCTCTCTCTCTCTCTCTCTCTCTCTCTCTCTCTCTCTCTCTCTCTCTCTCTCTCTCTCTCGCCCCCCCCCCCCCACCACCCCGATGAAAGATCTCGGGACTGTTGTTAGACATTGATATATAATATCATATGTGGTGAAATGACCCGCACTAGAGATCTATATCTTTATATTGGCAATGCAGTGTGTACTATAAGAGTACTATTATAATATGGTGTAGAAGTGTGTTGGGGGGGGGGGGGGGGTGAAGGTTAACTAAATGTGGCTGAAAGTACATGTCTATTACAAGAGTGTGTGTGGGGCGGCGGTGGAGGGTGTCGTGGGAAGCTGTGTAGTGTAGTTATGAACAGGTGTAGGACTTGTAGTAGTTGTAGTATTAGCTCTCCCTCTCTACCTGGCCCTCTCTCTCTCCTTCTCTCTCTCTCTCTCTCTCTCTCTCTCTCTCTCTCTCTCTCTCTCTCTCTCTCTCTCTCTCTCTCTCTCTCTCTCTCTCTCTCTCTCTCTCTCTCTCTCTCTCTCTCTCTCTCTCTGCCCTCAGCCACTATCAATATCCCTCTGTCTTTCTCTCCTTTTCTTTCCTTCAAAAGTGACCATCCTTTGAAATAGCCGATGTCAACATCTGGGACCGACTATGCAACTGGAATTGTGAGAACTGTTCAGTGAAATGTATATCGCAGATGTTGTAACATGGCATCAATCATAATTTGTTTGAAATAGATCCTGATTTTTTCTCACTACTTTATATTTCAACAGAATTGAATATCGTAACGTCATGACAAATAGTTCTATTCGTCAGAAACAATCACAGTTTGTGAACGAATACTGACTAGTTTGGGGGAATCCTTGCACTGTATTTCATCAGTACAAAGACTGATATTGGACGATGGGTAGTGGGTTTATCCACTCACCCACTTGGGTCCAGGAGCTACAAGTACTGAGGATGAAAGAGTGGTTACTGTGGAGGTTACTGAGGGGAAGTGGAACTTACGGCAGTCAGCACGGTCACTAAACCCGGTTCATATCTCTAGACTCCTCTGTCATCAGCTAAAACATTAGTCAGGTCCAAATTATCTATTTCAGGTGTAAATAACCTTGTGTGTTTAATTGTAGTGATATCACCGTGTTATATACAGTGTGTATGAGTGCATTTCTCTGTAGTAGTCTGCACTCTACATTACTTATAATTACTCTAATAATTACTAATAAGAAAGGTTTAAAATATCAGATAATAACTGGAGAAATTTCACATTTTAGCCGGGAGAGAGGACGTTACACTGGTGGAAACCAAAAGAGCAACATAGGAAGTACTGATTTGTTAGGAGGGAAGGAGGTATTGAGGTCGAAGCCCCCAACCTGGGGGTTATTTTCACGATTTTATGTTCATATTAAACTCGGAGAGCACCTGTTTATGGCATTGTAACAAAAAATCAAACAGTCATTCAGGGTGTAAAAATGAACAAATTTTGAGGTTCAAATATAAAATAGAATCACTATCACTAGTAAGCCATAGCTGTAAGAAGTTAGGCAGTAAGCTAACCGTCCAAAATTTAACCAGACCAATAATTTGTACATTAAAAGATGGCGTCAGTCGTCTTTGCGCGGGACTTTCCCTTTTTCGGGGGGGGGGGGGGGGGGGGAGGGGGGAGAAAGAGAGCGCACGCCCCCTCCGCTCCCCCTCTGACTACGCCCTTTGTGAGCACCGAGCGGTCGATCAGGATGACTGTAAAATGGGAGCATAGTGATCTTAAACTACTCTGGCTCACAAAATTCCAGTTGATTTATGGTTAGATGTTAATCTTGTTCTGTTAGCACCCAGCCAGGTAGCAGTTGAGTTTTGCTTTCGACGCCTCCCTCAATCAATCTTACCTGCATGGGAGTGGAAGTACCAAATAATATTAACGTACTTTTTAAAAGTATATCTTGTTAGTCACGTAAATCGCGAGAAGTGTCAAATCTCTTAAATACGATATAATGTTAGCTAAAAGTAAAGTTATGAAGAAAAAGCAGTTAATAATTAAGACAAACCGGATATCAGTTTCCGGTGTGTTCGTGTGCGGTCTCCCTGCTACTTCTCCCTGTTTACAGCCTCATTAAATAGCTATTTTAATTTGTCTGCTAACACCACTAATAACTTCCAACTTAATATCTCCCGTATTACTCGCTTAATAAACTCCAACTCTATATTTTGTCCTGTACTTTGCTTATAGTTATATACTAATATATTATATACTAATATATATACTTTGCTTATAATGCGATATGGCACTGTAGATTTAGTTTGTCTTTTGGAATTTCCCGTTAAAGACAAATGAGCGGGGAAGTGCTATATATTGGCTACCAAGGTAGCTGTTTGCTATATTTGCTACCAAGGTAGCTGTTTGCTACATTATATTGGCTACCAAGGTAGCTGTTTGTTTCTGTCAAGGTTTTGGATGAACTTAATCTCTTAGTAATATTTAAGTATTTATCAATTTACTATAACCTTATATCAAATTAATCTATTTGTTCAAAAAAGCTTGATAACTACACATTCTATAAATAATATTATATATACTATATAAATTCTTTAATTTTCCAAACGAGAAAATTATCGCCTAGTAGACAGTTGTTGATTTAAAAGTTTCTCTTACTATACATATTTTCCATCTGAACAATATTTTCATCTGAACAATATTTTCATCTGGGCGATATTTCCAGGAGAGAAAAATTTCCATCCGAGTGTCTCTAAATCCGTTTGTTACATCAACCTGGTTCGTGTACAAGCAAATAAATATATTAGAATGCCATATTATCGAGTGTTAGTTATTGATGCGTGAGACAGCAGCTTAGCATATTATATACTCAAATACAATATGCGTAATGAGTATTTTTGTAGATTGAGAGCTTCTTGCTTGCTCTCCTTTTGGCGTGAGAATTTGTTGAGATTGTTGAGACACACTGTTATTATAACTTGAGGCATTCATTCAAATTTAGCAGGAATTGTGATTAATAAACTATCCCAGAACCGTAAAATGTCTCGTTTTTAGCATTACAAGTATTTGCTGTAAATATTTTACTTCATGTTTATGTAATTATATAAATGACCAGAAGAGAGTGCTCAATTCATGGTAGCACGAAACTGTAGCCATAATATCAGGTGGTAGCCCCTTCTTAACCAGACATGTTCTTAACTTTTCTACAGTACAAGATCTTGATAATCAAGATTTTGATAATAATATTGTTTATGATATTTTTCATGATGTTGAGTATAATATGGCTTATTTAGTATTACACTGTTTATATTATTGTTTAAATAATAACCACTCACCGTTCTAGGAAGCACTGTTTTTAATATTGTTTAAATAATAACCACTCACCGTTCTACTGTTCTAGGAAGCACTGTTTATTATATTGTTTATTATATTGTTTATTATATCGTTTATAATAGTGTTTAGAACACTGTTATACTGTCCTAAAAAGCACTGTTTATTATATCGTTTATAATAGTGTTTATAACAATGTTCTACTGTTTTAGGAAGCACTGTTTATAAAATGTTGTTTATAATAGTGTTTATAACACTGTTCTTCTGTTCTAGGAAGCACTGTTTATTATATTGTTTATTATATCGTTTATAATAGTGTTTATAACACTGTTATACTGTTCTAGGAAGCACTGTTTTTATATTGTTTATAATAGTGTTTATAACACTGTTCTACTGTTTTAGGAAGCATGGGTATTGGAGAAAATGTAGACTCTGGCTCCACGGTATGTACTGTTTATTAGTTATTACTCTTATTAAAAATGTTCGACCCAACAAAGAATCAATTTGAGCCTTTTTTATTTACTTTTTATTTACTCTCTGATCTCAATATTGTCGAGATGATCATACCATAACTCTTTAAAATGCGGATTCTTCATTTTACTACGTACATATTATTATAATATCTTTAATTCCTAATCTCCGACTCGACACCTCACGATGTATGTATAACGCGGCTCGTTGAAATTCTTGTTATTGTACGTGTTCTAAATACTTTGTGCGTGTCTCCACTACTTGAGTGTCTTCACTATCCGTACTATTTTACTACAAAAAGCACCATTGCATTGTATTATCTGTAAGAGTTTACGACAGGAGAGCTTGATCAAGTTAGAATCGTAACTATTCGTGTTTAGATTATAAACATTGTTTCTCTGATATATGATTTATAATAATACCTCGATCATAAAGCATCTTTAATTCCTAATCTCCACTATATCAATGTCACGTGTTTTCATTATGTCAATTATGGTCTGCAAGCTTAAATTTTATGATAAAAGCTTAACATAAATTGTCATACCTTACTCGGGAATATTATAACCGGGATAAAGTGGTGGGTTTTGGAAGATTCCGCCATATTTTTCCCGGTCAAAAATTTTACCAGTCATAAAAAAACCCGCCGACTCAGATTATGGGGTTCCAAGGGGGTGGTGATCATCACATTTTACCTGAAGTCTCATATGTGCTAGAGAAGACTTTTGAAGCAGTGGATGGAGGGCTGTAACTTTATTGGCGGTTGCTACCATAATTTCGTTATAAAAATCACAATTTGGTTACAGAAATCAGATTTCAGGGTGGACCGTGATTCTCACTTCTCTTGCCCATGAATCAGTGAATCGTAGAGAAGAAAACAATTTATATGTTATAGAAGAAAACGAAAATAATAATGATATATAATATATATTCTAATAATAATGTCTCTAAAGATTGATCGCTTCTCGTGTGCAGTGTGTAGACTAAAGAAAGAGGGAGTTTTTCCCGTTAAAGTAACTTGTGGCCACATCCCGCTAGAAGTGAGTAAACTGTGCCACTATTTCATGGTCCACAGTGGATTGATTACTGGAGAAGTTGAAGATGCAAAGCCAAAACGTTCCCCAATACCAAGCAGTGGGCAGGAAATTAAGCTCCGGCTGACCTTCAGAGCAGTAGCCCCATCAGCAGACAAAATGAAAGTCTTGTTAAGACAACAATACAACTTCGAATTTGACGGTCAACAGCTCAGGGGGATATCAATAATGATAATGGCGGGGACATTAGCGATAATGAGAATGAGAATACGCTTTAATGAAGATTTGACTTATTATTGCTTAGATTTATTTTCCTTTAAATAGACGTGTCTTTTTTTCTATTTCTGAGTAATATCAATAACCGTAAATTGAAATAACTTCTTTAACAAGTAACAAAAACAGAAATTTCGGTTGAAAATTTGTTGACCTCTGAAAAAAAACTTGAAAGGTCAGCCACCGGTAAACACATGACCGGGATAATTTGGCGGGTTTTGGGAAAGTCCGCCATATTTTTCCCGGTCATTAATTTTCCCAGTCATAAATTAACCCGCTATAATATTCCCGAGTAAGGTATTATGTTAACATTGCTCAACTGCAGTAGTCAGCCCCAATGATTTGCGGATTTCTAAAACTATTTCTAAAACTATTTCTAAAACTATTTTTGAAGAATTGTATTCTTTACTGTCCAGTACTGAAGATCCAGACTGTGATGATATTATATTCTGTGACGTCAGAGTCTGAGATTGGAAATAACAGTTTTAGTTAAATCAAAGTCCTAAAAAAATTTAAAAAAAGTTCTAATATAGATTTACTTGGTAGTGTCTCATAATTTTTTTTAATAATTTTTTTTTGCAACCTTCCTGCTTTCGTATAATATAATAATGATACATTTTGACAATGTAATGAAATGAAATAATGTGCTTGTATACCGCCCATATGGTTAACAAGCCCCTCCCCCCCCCCCCCCCCCCCCCCCCCCCCCCCTTAGCAACTGACACAAGTGTCAGGTACCCGCTAAGCCCAGAACAGTTCTAAATGGTGAAGATATTCTGCAGCAAGCAACTAGATCATCTCAAAATATAAATCTACTCGGAAAATGACACTTCCATCATATCACATACTCACAGAGGAGGTTATATTGATATACAACACACCACCAAAAAGCGTGCAATCAGCAATATACCTCCACCTAGAGAATGAAGAATAGAGATACAATATAAAATATTGAATAAATGTGATAAAGGATGACTGATATGATTTGTTTAAAAAAATATATAATCAGAAAATTTGGTTTGTGTTGGGATTCTCGGGATATGAATTCCAAAAGCAGCTTCGCAAGAAAGGGTCAGCTCATCACGCAGCAAACAATAGATCTCTAGATACTGGTGGGAAGGTGAACAATATTTCTCTAGCACGTGAGGGAGTGTGACGTCACGTCAGGGAGTGTGACGTCACACTCCCTCACGTGACATCACACAGCAAACAATAGATCTAGATACTGGTGGGAAGGTGAACAATATTTCTCTAGCACGCGACAACCATTCTCCGATCAGCGTCTAACCTTTTTGTTGGTGCTTCAGTTAAGATTGTAATGTTCGTGTCATGTGGAGTTGGAAATCAATTTATAAGCAGCAAAAATACAAATTCAGTGAGCATTTTTTAGAAAGCAAGTTAGCACTCAGCAGGAATTCGAGCTAAGGAGAGGAGCTTTCCTTTCCAGACATTTTGGGGTTTTCGTGAATATAAGATATTTTGGTTAGATTCCATAAATTAATGGTTTCTTTATTTAACTAGTGTAGGTGCTCTCAGTTGATAATACTAAGTAAAATTCCCCCTACAGTCTGCATAATACCAGGAAATATTATATGCTACATATCCCTCATCGGCAAACTGCTATTATTCTGACGAAAACACGTCTCCTTTGTGTTATATCAATATTAATAATGAATATAGTAGGGGTAAGGCTACAGCAGACCAACCTAAAGCTATCTCTCCTCCTCAGCCATCTCTGTGCACTCCCCTAATACCATATAGATTCTCCGCAAAAAAAACCAGTACCATCCAATAAAAAATATCCTGCAATCGTCACCAAGTTGATGATGAAATCAGCGCATCACCCCACCAACATGACACCCTATACAGGCTACAGCACATCCATCTGCTAACCCGTGAACTGTTAGATACTATTCCCACCCTCCCCTCCCCGATATAAGTGGTTACAAACCACTCCGCCGTTTCCTTATACGGATCCCTGTAAACCGTTCCCACCCTGCAGAGTACATCTAACCCGCTCTCCACTGCATGCTGACGTCCTTTACCTTCATCCCGTTTATTGATCCAATTGGGATCAGTTGTGTGCCCATATAAGGAGATGCAGGGTTGAGTTGGCTTGTTATAACCGTGTTGTCGTCACTATCTTTCGCAAAAAAATAAGCACTATATATATGAGGCAGTTACTGTGGCTGCTGCTCACCTGTGAACGCTGCTCTTTGCTTTCAGTAGTGCCGTTCTGTTGTAGAGTTTGTTGCTCTTGCCTTTCAGCTTTGTGTTGCTATAGTTTCTCGGCAGTTCCTTTTGTGCCGTTATATTGTTCGGGTGAAGGACGTTTCATTTGAAAGGTAGAGCACAATTATTAGTATTACAATTATTAGCGTTATCTTCAAATAAGGCTCGAAACCACCGTTTTTAATCACATCTCCAGTGCCTGCAATTTATAACATATCAGATAATCACTCTATTAATAGCAAAATTAAAATATCCTAAACTCTATAAAATCAGGTTATATCCCGTATCTTGTGCTATTCTTTTCTTGGCTGGACGGTGGGAAGTGAATGTTTCAGTCTCTGTGCTATCCCTTTCTTGGCTGGACGGTGGGAAGTGAATGTTTCAGTCTCTGTGCTATCCCTTTCTTGGCTGGACTGTGGGAAGTGAATGTTTCAGTCTTTCTGCTATCCCTTTCTTGGCTGGACGGTGGGAAGTGAATGTTTCAGTCTCTGTGCTATCCCTTTCTTGGCTGGACTGTGAGAAGTGAATGTTTCAGTCTCTGTTCTATCCCTTTCTTGGCTGGACGGTGGGAAGTGAATGTTTCAGTCTTTCTGCTATCCCATTCTTGGCTGGACGGTGGGAAGTGAATGATGCAGTCTCTGTGCTATCCCTTTCTTGGCTGGACTGTGGGAAGTGAATGTTTCAGTCTCTGTTCTATCCTTTTCTTGGCTGGACGGTGGGAAGTGAATGATGCAGTCTCTGTTCAGTGTTCTATCCCTTTCTTGGCTGGACTGTGGGAAGTGAATGTTTCAGTCTCTGTTCTATTCTTTTCTTGGCTGGACGGTGAGAAGTGAACGATGCAGTCTCTGTGCTATCCCTTTCTTGGCTGGGCGGCGGGAAGTGAATGTTTCAGTCTCTGTTCTATCCCTTTCTTGGCTGGACCGCTGATGTTTCAGTCTGTGACCCACAGCTCTCACCATCCTGATGAACTACTTGGCAAACACTCTAACCCAGCACGTTAAACCCACCAATCACAGCGTTCTATTCCGCCCACGTGACCAGCTTTTCAATAGATCCACTAAATCATATTAGTGAGATTATAATGGCAGGAGACTATTATAGCACATTGTTTAGCTGTACATGAACACTAGAGTACTGCCTGTCCTTTAATGGACCCCCGTTTGATTGGAAACTATTTTCAGAGTTCAATCACTTGATCAAGGTACACAGGGACGTTGAGGAGTTGTTGAGGGGGCCCTTATATAACAACACAATATGATATATTGTGTACATGTGTACATTGGGGTACATTATGGTACCACATCACTCTCGTGATAATAAGATGTTATTACTCTATTCTTACGAGATGGTCTAAGATTTCTTCGCGTTATGAATTAACTTTACCCAGGGCGGCTTAACTTTACATTATTAGCAAGATGAATGGTTAGTATGATTAAAGGTAACTTGACTGGTGGTGGGTTGTGCAATCTGCGTAGAGATGTTATTGAACATTGGCTTTGCATTTAGTTGTATGCATCTAGTATTCATTAATTAGATAGATTCAATTTCTTTAACACTTCTTCTTTTCAGGGGATTGATAACTAGTGACATTGTCATGCTGTTACTACGATGAATCCCAATGAGAAGGCACTATCAAACAAGCGAAAAGCAAAGCGTGTCAACTCAGAGCCTGATGCCTTGTCAGCACTTCGTACCAAGGAGAGAATGGCGACAAGTCTCTCTGAAGGGAGTAATCAGGAGTCAGATTCTCAAAACCCCGGTTAGTAAGGGAATAATCAGGAGTCGGATTCTCAAAACCCCGGTTAGTAAGGGAATAATCAGGAGTCAGATTCTCAAAACCCCGGTTAGTTAGGGAGTAATTAGGAGTCAGATTCTCAAAACCCCGGTTAGTTAGGGAGTAATCAGGAGTCAGATTCTCAAAACCCCGGTTAGTAAGGGAGTAATCAGGAGTCAGGTATAATTATTATAATTATTATAATTATTATAATTATTATAATTATTATAATTATTATAATTATTATAATTATTATAATTATTATAATTATTATAATTATTATAATTATTATAATTATTATAATTATTATAATTATTATAATTATTATAATTATTATAATTATTATAATTATTATAATTATTATAATTATTATAATTATTATAATTATTATAATTATTATAATTATTATAATTATTATAATTATTATAATTATTATAATTATTATAATTATTATAATTATTATAATTATTATAACTAACAGGTATCATGACGCGGATAAAGGGACTAAAGAGTGACATAATGAAGAGGGTGAGCAGAGTTATGTCAGATGAGGATATGAGGAATTTACGGACTATCAGAAGCAAACTTTCACACATCGAGGAACCCCAAAATTCAGCAGGTAGGGGTTGAGTTGTAATTCTGTGCCACTTCTTTGATGTAGGTATGTTCAGAACTGGTTCGGAAATTCGTCGTCAATATGACCATTTCGCCCATGAAAAATTTACCGTGGAAATTATAGTGCACTGGTCGACAATAAGATCAGCCTTGTAAAGATTTAAATCCAAGCGTTAAAAAATATCTGGCAATTGTAATAATACCTTTTTTCAAAATTAAGGATGGTTGATACCTGGTGAAAGACTTGTTAAGAATTTGAAAATATCAGATAATTGCGTGGCCACAAACTTAAATTTAGTTACTGACACTTGCCCTGAACCGTAACGAACAATGAACATCATTGTTCATCCTCCACAACAACACAAGGCTTCAGTTACCGTTTCCTTGGCTGAACGTAGTAATTAATAATAACAATATCACATAATAATAATAATCTCATGTTTAGTTATATTAACCTAACCATTATAACTTTAATTATTGATTAAGTAATTATAACCATGTTCTTTGTCCTACTCAGATTGTAGTTTAAGTTTTTAGTGTACTCACTCAGTTTAGTCCATTCGTTTGTGTTAGAGCCGTGCCGTGTACACAGTGCTCCTTTTTGTAACTGTACTTTTCACTTTAATGTGAGTTGGAGTTGTTACCGTTAAATTAGTGATTAAACGAGCTTGTGTTCTGGAGTCGCTTCAGGAAAATAAATTGTTTTATTTCACATTTGGCACTTGTTCTTTTACATGCTGGCATATTCCTTATTGTAAATTGGGTTCGTAAATTATCCAATCAAGATGAGGTTAAAAAAGAAAAAACCTCCTCCAAAGAAAAATCCTCTTCCACAGAAAATTCGAAGGAAATGTTAGTCGACATTGGGTGGAGAGATGAACCATATTTGTTTTGATATGACGTGACAGTGATTCTGGGTTTTGATTGGCAAATGCTGGTAGCTGATTCGTTAATCACTGTCACATTTCAGCAAAAATGTGGTTTACTTCTCTACCGATATGAAATCTTTTTAAAATGGTGTGAGTACAACTCACAGATACCGTACTCACTTGTAGAGTATAGATCTGCTATGATTTAGATACCCACAATTTCTTATCACATTTATAAGAACATATTATATATTATGAACATGTTCATTTTTCACAGAAGCAAATCCCAATTTATCACTAGGTTATTAAATAGAAATCGGATGAAGGGGAGCGAGAAATTTTGACACAAATGACGTCACACCGGTAGATATAAATCGAAAACGCAGCGCTTTATCACGTATAGTACTAGGTATACATTATAGTGTGAGATGAGCTTGAAATGGCCCCGATACAGCCGTTGAGCCGTGAGCCTGTAGAAGGCCTGTAAAAGGCCATCATACAATCTTTACACGGCCATCACTCTGCTTCAAGATAAAGGGGGTGAGAGAGGGACAAGAATTAGGGAGAGAAAATTGATTCTGTGTATGTTCTTAGAGTCTTAGGTAGCGCAAATAAGAGATTTTATAAAATACCCACTGCAGTAATGATCAGGAGATTGGATCAGTACTAATTTGAGTACAATCTTATACATAATATTATGAGAATATGTCACAACATAACCGCGACTTGCAGCGACTGTATCCCCTAAATACTGATTGTCGTATTTTACAACGAAGGAGTATAATTGTATGTACTTTAACACTGCATTGACACTTTACACGTATCACTTAATCTGCTCTTATAGCCGATAAATCAGTTGTTGCCTCCTCAGTATTCAGTAAAATCAGCTTTATTGACATCATGTGTATACTGTATACTTTATAGACAACTTACCTATGAACTTATTAAGAGGTTTAGAAGTGGGCATCTTCACGGCCATCACGCAATCTGCGGACCACCTCTTTGGCTGCACCAGTCAGGCAACTGGAACAAATTTAAAAAACGAGTACACAAGTACAAAACATCTGAAACACCCTATATCATTCTACTTGTCTTCTTTTACAGCAGTCCAAGAGGTCCAAGACCCGAATCAGAAGCAGAAGAAGAGCGATCAGTCACTGCACGATGTGTATAAACAGCTGTATATTAGACAGATAACCAGTGTTGCCCCTCCAACTAACGCTTCACATGGTGAATTATAGCATTTTTTGTTAATTTAATTAATTTTTACTAATTTATTCAAATTTTCTAATCATTTGATTGTTCTTGTGTTTTTATACTGAACATATATGCCCGTTTATTGTTTAACGATTTAATATAGGCAGCTGCAATGTACAACTTCATAAGATACAGTGTACTGACTAAGTGCACTGGCTCAATGCACGACCAGAGCCCCCAAATGCGGTTGTTGTTTTATTTTTATGTAATTTTACAAATATGCAACAACCATCAATTGTTATCATTTCAGTTTTAAAAGTAACAGACGAACAATTGACCGATGTGAAAAGGAAAGCATTTGAAGTGCCCAAAACAAGGATAACTGGTAGGTCATTGATTTTTAGCTAACATTTGGGTTCGTTGGGGACGGACTCGAGGACGCACTTTTATACTTGGATCACATTCTATTACGTGAGACTTTTTCTGGTCTTTTCGGACATAATGAACTTTTCAAAAATGTGGTAAAGGTTTTAATTGTTAAAGATTAGCTCATATTAACTTCCCCAGATTTGTGCAGTTTGATTGCATTGTTCTTGGAAATGAAATTGTATAAAAAGTTTCGTGCATAACACTCCATATTTGGCCAAATTGGAATAATTTCGTCTAAAATCCCTCTGGAAAGCTAGTTTCCTTATTTTGTTTTGGAACGCGCAGAACGTTAGAAATATCCAAAAGTTGGTAACAGTGCTTATGCTCACAGTGGAAAATATCTGGATTTTATTCTTGCATAAAAGCGATAATGCAATTATCGCGTGTTTATCGCCCAATATGCGATTATCGCGTGTTTATCGCCTAACATGCGATTATTGCGCACGATTATCGCCTAACATTGGCGATTATCGCTAAATGCACGATAATCGCCATTAAATAGTGATAATCGCTAAAATCTGCGATGATAATGCAATAGTGAAATGATGAGTTAATTTTGACATACTGTGAGTCATATACTGCATCAACATTCAACACTGCACTGAATCAAAATTATGGTTGAACAGCAATAAAAAATATTATATTTGATATATATATTAAACCTTGTGCCTGACGCCGCGCGCAGCGGATCCTGCATTTTCATTTTGAGTTTGACCCTGGCCTCACAATTACATTTTACAATCAAACTATAACCTTCAAAGGCGAAAGTAAACACAAGCATCAACATTTCATATTTCCAATTTCATTCCTCTTCCCCCTGTTTAACGGACGCAAACGCTATTTACGAATGACCCCTGGGCCCCTACGACAAACCCGAAACCATAAACATAAACTTCTATTCAATTTGTAATTCGAAAATTATCTCATAATTCCGTTATGGAAATAAATCGTATACATGAATAAGAATCTGAATCAATACATATTGTTCATTCTGTCTGCCGATGGCAATTATATCAATATTATATTCAAATAGTACACGGAGTTCATTACTGCATTTCAAGTTTGACACGCGCGGTGAGCCGCGCACTTTTGTTGGATTTGAACTATACGAAAATCAAATTATGAATCGAGCGCTACTAGGGCGCTCACTTAGCGCTTAGTTACCAGCCAACTTTACTTGTTATGATTTGTACCTCTTAGTGTGACCTGGATCAGAATATTTTCTTCGACTTCAGTTTTCAAAAGTGAGAGTGCTTGGATCGAATATAGATATATCTCTGTAAGAGTGTATAAGATGTTACAACTTACACACGTGCGGTAATCGGTATCATGTCACCAAGTGACTTGTCTATTGTCGTTACCAATGGCCACACTATTCACCTAATACCGTAATCTGCTTGACAGCTCGATCGAATTAAATGATTGCATTTGTTGTTATAAAGAACGAAATTAAGCACGTTCATATCGATTATCACATTAGTGAGAACATGAGTGGAAGCAGGACAGAAATGTTCGCAGGGTTAACTGTAACACGACAGTTAAGACCACTTGGTTCCGATGGCTTCCGCAGGAGATGTTGGTTGTAAGTTATTATACATCGAACTTGTTTGTTTCCTCTTACCTACATTTTTGCTGACTCGACCTGCAATCTGCACGAGTTGTAAGTGAAATTATATAAATCTTCTAATTGTAGGTATATTAAAGTATATTAAAATGTAGGATTTTTTCCGATTTTGACCCGGGGATATACTTTAATATACTTTAATATGGTTGGCCCCCCCCCCCCCCCCCAAATTTTACTCTTCAGGCACATGAGAGCCAGGTTCCCTACTCTCGAAGCGGTTCCCGAAATAAAACGAGCTGTGGCACGTTTCTGCCATATCGAGGGTAAATAAGTTTTTATCACTTGCCATTGCCTCACTTCTTATTAGGAACTAGAGAAGTTCTCGCAAAACATCATGGCTTAACAAATGACAACTCTGATCGATATATCTTTTGTAAAAATCGTTCTTTAATCATTAAGGAGATGAATACATTTCAGAAAGTGGCGTACACTCTGATTGGGTGAGGGAGGTCCAGCTACGATATAAGAAATATGCTGTTGACAAGAAATGCAAGAGGAAGGGGGCAGCAGTGAAGCAGAGAGCAGCATCGGATCATCCCCCAGTTACTGCTGCTGGTACCCAGACAGATCCACTGCACGCATTGCACTGCAAGGTAAGCTGCACCTGTATCACATATGAACAATCAAATTTCATCTGTCATGATATGAGATCCACTGAATCCCTGTTGAAACAAAGCTGTTAAAATAGTGATATTCAGGATTGTGTGACCAATGCCATGCGGCATGTCCTGGACGAAAAGGCGGCGGAAATTGCGGAGATGAGGACCAATCTCCTCCTCCACCAAGCACCCTCTCCGACCCCAGCACCCGTCAGGTAGCATAGCAGAATAAATATGACCCGGTGTCCAATGTTTTTGAAATGGTTGAAAATCGTCATTTAGTATGCAGTTTAATTCCATTGTAATGTTATTGCCAGGGTTATGTAATATGTTTGTACCCAGGCTAACAATATTTAGTCAAATTTAAAACTGATATATAACACATCTAAATATTGCAGCAGTATCCTGATCAGAACCCCTGACCCCATCCGCTCTCGCTCGCGAACTCCCTCCGTCAGTTCAAATGGGCCAGGGTAAATTTTTAAGCCATAAAAGTAAATGAGTTAATGTATGTGGTGTTTTGGTAAGTCAACTAGTTATTTTATTGATAAGAAAGGACTCTTATGAAGATTGGCGATGCGTTATATCATTTGTGATGAAATCTTAACACCATATTTATTTCAGACCGTCCCGTTCCAGTCACGGTACACCAGTCTGTGCTGTGCAACCACGATCACGGATTAATTCAGCAGCATCCAGGTATTAGGCAGTGAACCCCCCTCCTGGCTCTCCCTCCCTGGCCCTCCCTCCCTGGCTCTCCCTCCCTGGCTCTCCCTCCCTGGCCCTCCCTCCCTGGCTCTCCCTCCCTGGCCCTCCCTCCCTGGCCCTCCCTCCCTGTCCCTGCCTCACTCATTCTAATTTCAGTATCAGTGCGGACAACTGGGGGCCCGAATCTGTCATAGAAGCCAGAGTCCGCATGGCTGCTGAGAGGAAAAAAAAGGCCTCTCAAAAGAAGCTCACTGCGACTGAGATTTTCCGACAGCGTTGGGGAGGTTCAGTTTAACTATAAAACTTGTAAATACACTGAATTTATTATTAATTTTTGAAAAATTATGTGATGTTTGTTCCGTGATACTAACTTTTTTTTGTGACACTAATTCATTAACTCTATTTGTGATACTAATTTATTAACTAATTTTATGATACCAATTTTGTGACACTAATTTTGATAGACTGTGGGATACTGAAGGGAAAAGAAGCAGTTCTAACGAGCTCTTCTCAAACACAAGGATATATCTTGTGAACTTGGCTGGTATATATGAAACATTTGACACGGAGTTGTAGAGTGAGCTATGTGCCTCGCCAGGGCTAAAGTAGTGAATGACCTTGCTGTACGGCAAGTTAAACAAGGATCCTCATCACCACTATCATTAAGCCGCACAAGGAAATAAAAACTCCTGCTGACAGTGTTAAAAGGAAGCACACTCATGTCTTCAAGGATATAGTAGAGAGCCAGGTATCCTGAATAACGTTATCGGTAATAAGTTAAACTGTATATCACTTCCGCAGTTTGCCATCATAGCCATACTGAAACTGAACGAATCCCTACAGGCAATTTAGTTCAATCAACATGAATATTTGCAGGCTGAGTCAAGCTGTTCAAAATCTAATGACTCTGATATCGAATCAGTGACCAAACGGATCCGAACTGCGGAGTTAACATCACTCTCTAAAGAGCAGCGGGAGTATGTACAGGCGTTGGCTGGCGTTGACTGTAAGAAACGAATTGATGCTCTTCATGTTGCTATGTTCAAAGCTGAATGTAAGTTGTTAAGAACGATACAAATTGTCATTATCATTACAACTTAGCGGGTGGAAAAGTTAATTCTTAGTGTGCAATAGATTTCATCGCAATAAATTAAATGCTGACTCAATTTTTAGCTAACACGGGGACAGCCAATGTACGAAACAACCTGCGGCCACTGCTAAAAAAATATGATATAAAAATGGAATCAGAGAAGGAAATCAAGTCAATGGAAGAATTATACACCGTGAGTGCTCAGTTGAACTCAAAACCAATTATATATCATTTTGGTGTCATGGCGTACTAGCATATAGCATAGCACAACCCAGATTTTGAAATATAGAATATATTGTACATCAAAAATTAACATCATTCATGTTTTAAGGTGAACTATATGAGTGCAATGGTTTCTCTTTCCCATAAAGCTGCAGCACATGATAAAAATGAAACTAAAAGTGGTGAGCTGTTAGCAAGACGTACCCCAGTAGCCTACTGTGATGGACAGGAACTGCTAACCAAAACACTTATAACCTTGAAGAATACCGGTATTTCAAATTTCTAGAGATTATAGAGCTGTTTACAAAAAATTAATTTGATTTAAATAGGTCAAGGTGGGCAGTTCTTTTAGCGGTTTTTATCACATAGTTCATTAACAGCCAGCTGAATTCTATATATTCCAGGCCAGTTAGATGTGGGAACTGACAAAACTATACATGTTAAGCTGTTTGTAGACGCAGACACGAGCTCCACTAAAGTGGCAGTCAATGTGCTAAACCAGCCTTCGTGTAACAGCTCGTATGCCCACCCAATGCTGGTGTACACCGAAGCTCCGGACCATCGCAGGAACATGGAGGTCATATTTAAGGTATTTCTTCATGAAATCTAGACTTCAACTTGAGCTTATTTGTATTAACAGTTTACACTTTAAAAACTGGACAGGCATGAGACAGATAACATTACAGGTGGTTAACCGGGACCTACCACAGCTCAAGAACTTTGTCTTCTGTGGAGCACATGTGAAGATGATTCTCTGTGCAGACACAAAGGCACTGTGGGCTATGCTGGGTATGGGCAGCAATGGGACGTTCCCCTGTCCACTGTGCGAGGTACATAAAGACCTGATGCAAGTACCCAGAAGCCAGAGAGCTCTCTGCAAGCCCCGAACTTTTGCGGGAATTATGCAGAACTTTGATGCTAATATGAGGTACTTATAAACTTATAATACCAGTCATTAACTCGCTGATTGCAGCTCCTTCATTTCACAAAGTACAAACATTTATCTCGATGTATATTGTATACCATGTATGTATTTCGATAGATGTATACCATTTCTGTAAACTGTTAGTATCGAGTTTTTCCACATCAGAATGACTCAGTGTAACCCGAGATCCCAAGCCCAGTTTATGAATGTTGCTTCACGACCCATCACAGACTGTTTCGGGGAGGATTCTGATTATCTCATAAACTGGGTCGCTGTTCCGTTCTTGCACATAGTAAGTGATCGAAGCTCACAGTTTTTTATTCGAACACCGCTCATGCTGTTCCTGATATGTGGCAAATAGAACTAGGTACTAGAATTATTTGACTGATTGTCATGACTCTTGATACTTCCTTTAGAACATCAAAGTCGGGACTTTTCTGTGGACAGAGTACGGTAAACTGTGCGAGGAGATAGACTTTGTACTCGCTTGCAATGTGGCAGACGGGTTTCTTCCCAACAGCTACAGCAGTACGACAGACTTTGGAGCCATGATTCTGCGCATCGAACAAGGTAATGTAGATTCATCGATGAATGTATCACTTCATTATTGAAAAATTGGAGGCTTTGCAAACTGATATATAATGAGTTGAAGAAAATAAGTGTGGCACTGTACATTTTAGGTAACCGTGTGGCCTCGAAGTGCAACAGTGGGCCCCTTTCCTCGAAGTATGAGCAATATTTGAGGGGCATCAATGTCACTCCTGAGGCATACCATGGTGTGTCCCTGACCGGCGTGAGAGCAGGATATTTGGTTAAAGCCAATCACACTCAATTTTGGACAGACCACTTCTATAAAAACGAGTAAGTTCTGTGAGATCAGTGCGATTTAACTCATGTTACTAATGGTTGTCGTTTATAGTGAAATAACTACCACTTTTTACTTGTGATTGAAGGCTAAAATTCTGTATTGATAACGAGCTTCTGTGACTGACCGATTCTGTGTTGACAGGAAGATAAGACCACAGGACAAGTTGCACTTTCAGCAACGGCTCCTTGCACTGGATCGCATTAAGTCCTCGTATAGAGATCTCTTAGTTCTCGGTGGCAAAAGTGGGAAAGTGAAGAGTCCCCGTGAGATCGAAACTCTTGTCAAGGCCAGGGACCTCTTCTTGGCAGAGTACCGAAAGTTTGGTCAGTCCACATCGGTGAAGGTATTGTTGTTATCTCTTATAGCTTTACCTGTTGTCTCCAACCCCTAAATAGCCTGGAAGAAAGTTATTTTCATGACATATTTATAAGAAACTCCGGCCCAACCGAACTCTTAAAATTGCAACATCATTTCAACACCACCTCCACCAGATACATCTCCTTGAAGACCACTTTTTGGAGCAGATACAGCTCTGGGGGATGTTTTCTGGATCTTTCAATGAGCAAGGTGGTGAGAGTACTCACTCCCTTTTTAAGAATCACGAACACATGACAAGTAAGAAATAACTTGGGCTTTTAGAATTAATTGAGTTTGAGATCAAATTTTGATTTCCACACGTTGAATAGTAGTGTGTAAGGGGTCGTTCATATATTACTTAACCATCGAAGGTGAGGGGGAGTACATAATATGTGGACGACCACCACTTTAATACAGAAATGTAAGCAACATAAATTTTCAGACCATGTTCGTAATGACGAAGACCGAGTTGTGAAAAAGTGCGAGCTAGCAACACGGAAATACCTGTTGAAAGTGAAATCCAAGCTGTGTGACTGAAATGGGTCAATCATGATGGATTTAGTGTTTGGGACAATCTGCTATATGCCTAAAATTGAAAGATTGTTAATTTGGTGATGCTTCACCCTCTGTTCATATTTTCTACTTGATCAATAATGATATTCGCCACATATTATGTAAAACGCCGCTTATGTTTTGCCATTAAAATTTTTTCGTTATAGTAGTGACTGCGACTGAAACCGCGCATCACGCAAGTTTTTGTCGCCGCGCGAGGGTGATTCAATTTTGTCCACTTCGCCATAATTCTCAGAGGATGTAATTTGACGAGTGCGGGACAATTTTGAGCGCAAGGAATCACTTGAATCGAAGATAACGATTGAGCTGACAATTTCTCCGGTAAAAATTAGACCTTAGATAACTGAATTGGGATGACATCGGAAATAACTCTGATGCGAGCAGGAATACACTATGTCATACTCATAGCAGTAATACTTAGACGTGAATATTAATATCCGATGGATCAAATTAGTGTATATGTTATCATTATTATATATATAAAGTGTGCCTCACTGGGGCACCCTTAAGTAACAGTTCCAGCTCGATAGGCCTCGTAACCGGGATGGATAGAGACAAACGAAATACATCATCTCGTCACAAGCAATCAGATCTAAGTTAAACGATAAGGCCAGGACATACTATGAGCATTGAATTAACTGTCAAAATGGTAACCTGAGCCCTAGAGGTGATCACATGCTATAAGCCTAACGGAAAAGTATTCTAAAAATATAAATCTAATCGTTAAGTTAAACACATTTGAAAGCGGCTGTCAGATAATATAAACGGTTCGGGATGATGGCTGTCGAGGTTCGGGCATGACGCGCCCGGCCGCACAATAAGCGGTGACTAGGGAAGTCACAACAAAAAGTCCCCTCTCAGTCTAATCTGAGCTCTCGATATTTTGGAAGAATTCTGGATTCTAGCTAGAAATAGGTAAATTAGTCAACGAACATGAGATGAATCATATATTAACTTAAAGATGAAAACCCGCTAATCAACGTTGACCAAAATTAAATTATGTGGGCTTACAATTGAATCATATAGAGTAACTATTTGATCATTTGACGTAGCCATTTTGTCAACGCAGCATTTTGTCAATTTGTCAACTCTAAATATTCGACTGCTGTTAATCTTTTAACTTTAATTATAAACTTATGTTACCACTGAAAATCTGAAATGGCTCCAGTAGATCTGTAGATGTGGCAGCTAGGTTCTCGTTATATACTGCGATAATCGCAAATTGAGGCGACAATCGCACGATAATCGCATAATGAGGCGATTATCGCACAAGGGGGGGGCGATAATCGCAAAATGAGGCGATAACCGCGCGATAATCGCAAAATGAGGCGATAATCGCACAAGGAGTCGATTATCGCGCGATAATCGCGAGGGAGTGCGATTATCGCTGCAAAAATAAAATCTGCGAAATGGCCAACATTTTCCACTGTGTGCTGGAGGTTGCGCGCGCATCAATCTCCTGCAATCAAGCATGTATTTCTGATCAATATGAGCATTACCTGTCAGATACCTAATTTGAATAAAGACCATTGGGATGATTCCCAAACACTCGAGATATAGAGTTTTTGGCTATCCTAGATTTTAGGTCTGTCTGATGGTAAAGTCGTGTCCACTCTGTCGTATCAGAAATTAAATCGTGATTACTTCAAAAACTGATTGAAATAGCAGTACAGAAAACATTATTCTTTAAAATTTCGTATGAATGGTTTGCCTAAAGTTGCCAGCAACAATGTTAGCAAATTTATTTGACGATATCCTTGGAAAGTATTTGATTCCTGTCAACTTTGGCTGTCAATAATTTGACTTTTTTGATTTCCCTAAATTTTAATCAAATTTGGAGAAATAAACTGCATTTCACGTCCGAAAAAGGCGTTTCTCTTGTATCAAATATGGAATTTTTCTCGAAGGAAAGTCAAATTATATGACGTTTCTTAATTTACAACTTATCAGCTGAAAATCTATCAAAGATTAAAGTATTAACATACTTCAGATAATCCGACTAAAGCTGATACAGTAAATACGGACGAGTCGGAATGCGAGATTAGCCAAGTTCTTCAGGTATTTAAACTTCACATCCGATCATTGAGAATATTTTTAAAAACTTATAATTGTGTTTATTATTGTTATAACCTTGGAGCTTTCCAAGGTGACTGTCTATCCGGCTGTCTGTTCACCCTTGTCTTGGCTGGTGCTTTGAATGAACTTAGATGGACTATAACAATCAGTTTAGATAGGCCGATCCCCCCGATTACTATTGCTGGCCTTCCCTTGACACTGAATATGCTGATGATGTTGACTTCAATAATGAAGAGGAAGACAACTTGAGAGCTATTTTGCCCCAGGCAACAGCTATACTCGAGAAATGGAACCTCTTTGTCAATGAAGACAAAACGGACTTCACTCATGTTTATTTAGCTAGTACGGGTGAAGTTGACAGTGATGGAAAATTAGTGTCGGGGAATGAAGCATGGAGGAAAAGTATCACTCTAGGGTCCGTCTTGTGTAGCAAAGCTGATATTCAGCGTCGCATAAACCTGGGATATGCTGCTTTCAACAATTACAAGAACGCCTGGAGTGATAAACTGCCCCTAAACAAACGTCTAATACTGTACAATGCTTTAGTCGTATCGGTTCTTATGTACAACTCATCCTGTTGGGCCGTCCCCAAAATATTCCTTGAAAAACTAGATGTTGTTCACCGCAGACATCTTCGCACTATTTTGAATATAAAGTACCCAGGAGTCATCTCCAACAAAAACTTGTATAAACGCTGCAATGCTGAACCATTGTCAGAAAAAGTGGCCCGTAGTCGGTGGAGAATGTTAGGACATGTTTTGCGGGGTCCTATTGACGGACCAGCGTTTTCTTCCCTCATTTTTGCCATCAATACACTGGACTTACCAGGGAGAAGAGGAAGACCCCAAAGCAATCTATTCTCGCTGATTGTGCATGATTTATGTAAAAGAAATCTTTATTTGAATAATATCTTTGACCTGCATTATCTCCGTAATTTGAGTTATGACAAGAGATATTGGCGGAATTTGCAATGAGTTTTTAATTTTTAGTTTTTGTTTTAGGGAAAGATTAGACTTGGGCGTTTTTTTTTAAACTATCCCTTGTTTAGAACTTTGATTTAATAAATAAATATTGTGAATTCGTTAAGTTTCGTTTGTTTCAGCCATTAACTTTTCGCCTTTCTGACAGCAGAATTTAGAGTATTGGCATATCTCTCTCATTTATTTACCCCTCTCATTTTGAATTGTTCTCAGAAGAAATAAAACTAAGCATCATAACCATGAGTTTATCAATCAAGTTTTTCAAAAGCAATTTTTTTTAAACATGTTTTAGCTGAAATTCCAGTCACATTATCTCCAATCCAAAAATCACAATAACAACAAAACATTTACGGAGCATAAACTTCAATTTGTCTAAACTCCAGACAAGTGTTGGTATCCAGTACAAATTCAACACCGATACCAGTATTACCAGTACAGTCAAGGTAGTACGTCTGAGCCTCAAGTGTGTCTCCCTCCCTCACTGTCACCGTGTCTACCCTACATGGAAGCCTGTTCAGATTGTCCAACATTACAGACACCCTCATTCCGTTCAACCTGACCCTGTTCGAGTTTATTTTACCATTCACCACCTTTATCTGCCCGATAGCCCGCCTCTCAGAGAAGTGATACCTAAACCACTGGCGAGGTAGGGTGCAGGTTGTGTGAGTTTGAGTTCCAAGGTTCCCGTCTATTGCTTTTTCAGGGCCTACTGAGTAGCCGGGGTATGTTGAGCTTTGTTCTACTTTAACGGCTGGAATCAATTCAACACCTGTCCTCTTGCATCTATCTAAAACCTCAGATACTACCTCTGCCAGTCCCGAAATCTTTTCCTCGAAATATTTTTCCATTTTTTCTTGCCCTTGTTCCAATCTTTCCATCCTGTTCCTGATCTCCTGTACGTACAAGTTAGTTGATGTAACGTGGCTCTTTATTTGATCCACAGTTACGATAAGATCTTGGCAAGAACCAGGTCGCCTCCCTTGCAGAAGTGTTGCTGCTTCCTCATCTCCGTTAACCAGTCCGGTGCATGAAGTAAACATGAAAAGGATTACCAGAAACATCACGGAAAATCGAGACTGTAAACGTACAGAGCCGGGGGATTAAAAATTGGCCTTATAATTGGCTTAAAGTACACGCTCCGCTACTTTAATAAGACGTGGTCCTGAAGTCTGGTGTCTTATCAGTCAGAAGCTAATGAACTGATTTAAAATTCTTCTTTATCAGAAAGGTTTTACAGATCATCAACTTAAAATTTGCCATAGGCTTCCCTTTCGGGGTGTTTAATTTCATGAATAATTACCCGGAAGTGTGGTCGTTGGTAGAAAACGAGTGGTCGAAAGTTTGGTGAATACTTGAAAACTGATCGCTGTCACGTGCCGAAGAACATTCTACCACTTCTCCCATTATTTAAGATCCTTAACTGTCATGTTTAGTTTGTTTACCATTTTGAACATTTTGCGTGCAATTATTCACAGAAAAATGTCCCACAGGCGCTGAAAGAAGGAAAAGCTGCAAACGAAATCACTTGCTCGCGTAATATCGTCCAACGTACGGTTACGTTAGAACGACTGAAAGACTTTCCCATCCAGAGAGAAGAGCAAGGTTTGTGATTTATTTATCCTTTTATACGAGGAAGAGAGGGGGTGTCACGTCCTTTTATCCGAGATAGCTCTAGTAGTAGGGAGTAGTAGCTAGAAGAGTATGTCCTGACCTTTTATGTGTCCATCGATTTCATGTATTTTCCTCAGATTATTGATTTCCCAGATAAAACATTTGCGTAAAAACAACATTTACTGATGGAGAATAATACAGAGTATACTATAGACTGGAAAGTTATTAATATATCAAGTAGTTACTAAGTTACTATAAGCGGGGCGGGGTGCTGCAACCTCTGTCTCAATAAGAAACTATATATCTTAAAGAATCCTAGCTCATTAAATAGAATGTCAAAGTACCGCCGTTCTAATTCAATGTATTTATTCTATATATTTAGCAGTCACCGAGGAGGGTATATGTGATTATCCGTCATAATGCCATCAGATATGTTATTGAGATAGAATCTGGCTTCAAGAGCTGCAAGGCGAACTGATTGTGTTAATTAGAAAAATAATAAAAAATTAAAGAAAGATCGCAAATTGGTTTACACAGCTTGCAAAGTTGTATCTCTCAGGTGACTGGTAGAGTTGTCCAGTGAATGGAAAAATAGGACAAAATATCAATTAGGTTACATCTGTGAGTCATTAAACAAATTTACTGTTTTCCTAATTTAAACATTTCTTAACCTGTTTACAATGATAAAGTGCATCGCAACAGAATTCTCTCTTCTTTTTACCAATCACGGCTTTAAAGCACGGATTATCCTTACACTCACAACTGCTCCCTCTCACCTCTGTTAAGTAACGCACAACTGAACGCTTTCTTACAATTCCTAACATTACCCAGAGAGCTCCGGCTGCACTCTATGCTGGCTATCTTGCAGTCTGAAACAGTGTATCAAATTACCCACTTTAAATACAATACCAGTTACGTTTTATTCCCGAACTGTTTTTTATTGATTTGAGAATCATCGTTCAATGTTGGTGCGTGCAAATACTTTGATATTTGTAACAAAAGGCATGTTTCATCTCATGTACAGATCGGTTTGATGATATGATGGTTGGTTGAGTTGCTGAGGACGATTAAAACATGGGTTTTGGTATCGACGTTACATACTTTGATTTTCCGACTTTAAAGCTCACTTAAGAAACCAGGGAATTCATTTGACTTTCCTACAATTAAATCGTTGATTTTATTTCTATACACTTTTTTTCAAAAATTCCAGTAATATAAATTGTGCAGAAAGTTAGAGATTTAAATTTTGGAAGCATTTAGGGATAGAAATCTGATATCGATCATAAATACTAAAAATACTCTAGCGCGATTGTAACTGCAGTTTTACAGAACTCTAAATGCTTGATGAACACACTTGCAGGTACCACCTGTATTCACACTCAGAATTGAGTTTAGTCATTTTCCAATACGAGATTGGGAACGGGTACTATAAACAAACAAACATTAGAAAAATAAACATATTTTTATGTATTTTTCAAGTAATTGGACGTGCTTGAGTTAACTTGTGATTGCTTGCTAGTTGCAGTCCAGCAAATGATTCATGTTATTTAGTCTGATTTTATATACACCACTAGTGCGTCCATACTGCATACGAGTTACGATCACATTTTAACAGTATTGGTCTTATGAATTGATGATGATAACCATCACAAAGTGTTTCAGCGAATGTTTTGATTTTAGATTTATCAAGCATTTGTCTTGCGACAACGAATACTTCACACTGCTTTCTGTGCCTCTCCGAGCCTTTCCGAACTAACACAATTTATATTCGGATTGAATTTTAAAACATAAGACTTGATCAGACATGAGTCTAGCCATCACATTCGGGATTATAGCCGGAGTAATCTTCCTCCTATTCATCGTAATTGCCTGCTGTATCGGAATATCCAATGCTAAGCGTTTTGGACATCACGGACATCACGGACACCACGTTTACCCCACTAACCTGCATCATGGTGCCTTCCCTAGCCATCAGCCAGGAACTACTTACCCAGTACAACCTGCACCAGGAGGTTACCTACAACCCGGGCAACCAGGTTACCCACCTAATTCACCTGGGTTTCAACAACCTGCTTTGAACCCAGGCTACAACCAACCTGTCCCAAGCTATAACCAGGCTGCCCTAAGCCACAGTGTACCTGTCCCAAGCTACAACCAGGCTGTCCCAGGCTACAACCAGGCTGTTCTACCTGGTCAAACTATTGTGATGTCCGGATCCCCTTAAGCTACCCATCATGGATACTACAAGAAGCACAAGAAGCACAGAAGACACAGTTGGGGCAGTATCAGTTTCGGTAGTCACGGCAGTCACGGCAGTCACGGCAGTCACTTCAGTCACGGCAGTCACTTCAGTCACGGCAGCGGGGGTGGTTGGGGCGGTGGAGGGAGTTGTGGTAGCGGAGGCAGCTAAATCACCACAACATATAGAAACATAAACCCAGCTTTTCAGTAGAGCAAGATGGTAAGAAGTTCAACGAGCTCCAACGATCAGTGGTGATGTTGACTTATTTCTAATCAGTAGGATGTGGACAGATTTCAAATTTTAATGGGACTCAATAACTGACTGAGATCGAGAGTGGTGACTTCCCGAATTTGCGAAATTATTCTAATTCAATGTACGCTGGTTTTACTTTGATATTATTAATTGAAGTTATTACTGTTTTACCCGAGTATGCGGTGTATATTCGGTACTAAGTACTACTACTAACCTGCGCAGAATAAGCTGATATCTACTGGGGTGTTCACTAGTGTTCCCCTCGTAGTACTCTGTTATTTAGAATGAAGATAGCGATGAATTATCGTGTGCCATTTGTTTAAATTTGTCTCTGAATATTATGTTGTAAAAGAAATCCCTTAAGCTTCTCACATGCTTCCTTATTATTGATACTAGGTTTAAATAAATTAATGTAGTACGCTTCTGTCATTTTTCGTTTAATGGTGCTATATAAGTTAATTTCTAAAATATCGAAAGAAATGTCTGGATCTAAGTTATTGTGAAATTCTGAATAATGAGCAGCCAACGCATTATCAGGCCTGTTGACTGCTCTTCGATGCTCTGAAAATCTATCGTGTGCTGTTCTACTTGTTTCCCCTATATATAGCTCTTGACATAATTTACACGTGACTTTGTATATAACACATTTTGGTTTGCATTTGTTGCATACGAGTTACGGTCACATTCTAACAGTCTTAGTCTTATGAATTGATGATGATAACCATCACAAAGTGTTTTAGCGAATGTGTTGATTTTAGATTTATCAAGCATTTGTCTTGCAACAACGAATACTTCACACTGCACTGCTTTCTGTGCCTTTCCGAGCCTTTCCGAACTAACTCAATTTCTATTCGGATTGAATTTGAAAACATAAGACTTGATCAGACATGAGTCTAGCCATCTTCTTCGGGATTATGGCCGGAGTAATCTTCCTCATATTCAGCGTAATTACCTGCTTTATCGGAATACATGAATATAATGTTAAGCGTTTTGGACATCACGGACATCACGGACACCACGGACACCACGTTTACCCCACTAACCCGCATCATGGTGCCTTTCCTAGCCATCAGCCAGGAACTACTTACCCAGTACAACCTGCACCAGGAGGTTACCTACAACCCGGGCAACCAGGTTACCCACCTAATTCACCTGGGTTTCAACAACCTGCTTTGAACCTAGACTACAACCAACCTGTCCCAAGCTACAACCAGGCTGCCCTAAGCCACAGTGTACCTGTCCCAAGCTACAACCAGGCTGTCCTAGACTACAACCAGGCTGTCCTACCTGGTCAAACTATTGTGATGTCCGGATCCCCTTAAGCTACCCATCATGGATACTACAAGAAGCACAAGAAGCACAGAAGACACAGTTGGGGCAGTATCAGTTTCGGTAGTCACGGCAGTCACGGCAGTCACTTCAGTCACGGCAGTCACTTCAGTCACGGCAGCGGGGGTGGTTGGGGCGGTGGAGGGAGTTGTGGTAGCGGAGGCAGCTAAATCACCACGACATATTATAAAAACATAAACCCAGCTTTTCAGTAGAGCAAGATGGTAAGAAGTTCAACGAGCTCCAACGATCAGTGGTGATGTTGACTTATTTCTAATTAGTAGGATGTGGACAGATTTCAAATTTTAATGGGACTTAATACCTGACTGAGGTCGAGACTCGAGAGTGGTGACTTTTTGTATTGGTGTTCCCGAATTTGCGAAATTATTCTAATTCAATGTATGCTGGTTTTACTTTGATATTATTAATTAAAATTATTACAATTTCTCCCACAGTTTCAAGACCTGGAAGACCTAAAGAACTCCTTGAAGATGGTATCAGCACACTACCTCCTCCTCCTCATGACAGTGATCGTGGTTACACAGCAGGACCATTTGCTAATCCTGAACACCCCTCACAGTGCCACCCGCCCCGCCCCCTGCGCTCTTACTTGCACGGGGGTTAGTAAGCACGACGAGGTAAACCATGGCTGGACGCAACACGAGACTAGAGCCTCACGGGTTTACAAAATGATCAATTTGAGAGAGTGTGGATTTGTTACCGCTCCAGTCATCACAGCTACAACTAGTGGACGGCTACTAGTACTACAACTAGCTGTCCTCCCGTCTCGATAAATGTGCTTGGAAACGTCGGTTTCGGAGTGTATATAGAGGGTACTAGGGTGGGGGATGTTAATAGCAGTAGGTGTGACGTTTATTGGTCTGCTAACGGGTTCAATTGTTAAAGTCGTGGAAGATCCACCAATCAAGATCTGTTCAGTATCATTAATAGAATAATGTCTATTTTGGGTTTACTTTGTCTTAAAGTTTTTTGTTTTGTTTTAAAACTATGAAATTTTTTATCATTGACAACAACTAAAAAACATTATAACTAAAAAGATAACATTTTAATTCAGCCAAATGACAACCAAAATTGAAATTCTTTTGAGACATCATTCCTTCTTCGTTTCTCTCTTATCGTGAAATATTTTCAAACTGATAAAAATCAC